CTTGAGCATACCCTTTTGTTACAAGACGAGCCTTATATTTTTCTACTTCTCCTTTTTCGTTTATCTTCGTCTTAAATACCCACTTCACACCAATTTTCTTTTGCTCATGTCGGTAATGTTGTTAGTTCCCACGTTCCATTTTTGTTGATCGCTGCAATCTCATTCTCCATTGCATCCCTCCATATCTGACTTTTGGATGCTTCCTCAAAGGTGGTGGGATCAATTGAATCATTGATGTGAACATGGCAAGTTGCTGCATCTCTTGAGTGAGTTGTTCCACTTCCTGTGCCATTCCTTCTTCGTCTTCTTCTTTTGACAATCCAGCTCCAAATTCATAGTCCCTCATCCATACTGGTGGTTGTCTTCTCCTTTCTGGGAGTTTGGTTCTTTCATCTTCTGTACTTTCTTCTGCATGCTTATTATCTTCTTGATTTATCACTGCTGAATCTTTATTTCCCTTATTTTCTTCCTCTTCTTCACACTTTATTTCAAGAGAATTAGCTCCTTATGACTTCTTCCAGTCCCACTTTTCCGTTTCATCAAAAACTACATCTCGGCTAATAATAATTCTCTTTGTTTCTGGATTATACATTCGGAAAGCTTTGGACTCTTCACTGACTCCCATATATACACACTTGATGCTTTTTTCATCCAGCTTCTTCCTTGTAGCATCAGGAACGTGAACATATCTTATACATCCAAACACCTTGAGATGTTTGACTGAAGGTTTTCTCTCTTTCTAAGCTTCTTCAGGTGTCATATTTGGAAGGACTGAGGTTGGACATCTATTCAAAATATGAGTGGCCAAGTTTGTTGCTTCAGGCCAATATTTCTTTGGAACATCTCGTGCTATGAGCATGCATCTCACCATATTCATCAAGGTTCGGTTTCTTCTTTCTGCCACTCCATTCTGTTGTGGTGAGTAAGGCGTAGTGAGTTGTCTTGTGATTCCATTATTACTACAATAGTCATTGAATTATGATGAGTTGAACTCTCCTCCTCTATCAGTGCGCAAACAGGTTATGTTGTATCCTGTTGCTTTTCAATCAATGATTTAAACCTTTTGAATGTATCAAAGGCTTTATGCTTGGCATGTAAGAAATAAGACCACATTTTTTTGACTATAATCATCTATAAAGGTAAGGATATACCTTTTATGACTATGAGATTTAGGAGTAATTGGACCACATATATTTGAATGAATGAGTTGTAGAGGTTTAGAAGCTCTCCAAGTGCTTTTCTGTGGAAAGGAAAGTCGTTGTTGTTTTCCAGTCATGCATGTGGAGCACAACTTGGATTAATTCTTCAATATTGGCAGGCCTTGAACCATCTTCCTGTATGCAAGAATCTGTAGTCCTTTCATGTTTAGGTGACCAAACCTCTAATGCCATAAGCTTGTAATATTTTCAGAAGTTACATTTAATCATGTTGTCTTTGATATATTAGTATCAACAATACGGATAGATGCCATAAGCACAAACATACGATTTGCAGATATCATGGTTCGTATAATCAGACCTTTAGTATCATGATAAATGCTACAACATCCATTCTTAATTAGTATAGACAATTTTCGTTCTTGAAGCTGACCAATGCTAAGCAAATTTGTTTTGAGATCAGGAATGTAAAATACCTCTGTGATGGTCACAGTTCGTCCTTCTAACTTCATTCGAACATTGCCTTTTCCCATGACATTCAATTTGAAGTCACTTCCTAGTTTAACACTATGTCTGAATGATTGATGAAGTTCAATGAACCATTTCTTGTCTCCACTCATGTGATTGCTATATCCAGAGTCCAGAAACCACATTTCATCTTGTTTGACTCCTTGCATTTCCACATATGACATAAGTAACATCTCCTTTCCTTCATCCAACTCTGCGTGTTCTGCATAGTTGGCATATGTGGGACATTCATATTGAAAATGTCCCAGTTTGTGACATCAATAACACTCAACTGTAGATTTATCAAAAGCTCTACCTCTGCCTCTTTCTCTACCTCTGTATCCGCCTCGCCCTCTACCTCTATTACTGAGATGTTCAGTAACTTGTGGAGCAGAGTAGTCTCCTGTGACTTTCAATGCTTGTTCAGTTATTTCTTGTCTTTTTATCTTATGTTCATGTATAAGTAATGAACTTTGCAACTCATCTACCGTCATTTCATTGATATCCTTAGATTCTTCGATTGAGCATACAATATAATTGTATTTGTCAGATAATGTACGCAAAATCTTTTCAACAATATGTCCATCCTCCATGGTCTCTCCTGCTCCTCTCATGTCATTTGCAATGATCATGACTCTAGAAATGTAATCATTCACGCATTCATCGTTTTGCATTTCTAGAATTTCAAACTCCCTTCGAAGTCGTTGAAGTTGCGCGCGTTGAACTAGAGCATTCCCTTGATACTTTTGCTTCATTGAATCCCAAAGTGCTTTGGAAGTAGCTTTGCTGGTGATGGTTTTCAAAATATTCTTGTTAATGGATTGAAACAGATAGTTCTTTGCTCGTAGATCGTTCAGTTTCTGCTCTTCCAGAGTTCTACGTTCTGCTCCTGTGAGTGACTCCAGTATTTTGGGTTCTTCATAGCCTTACTCCACCACGCTCCAGTATTCCTTGGATCTCAACAAATTTTCCATTAGCATGGACCAATGATCATAGTCTCCATCAAACTTTGGAATGCTAAGGAAGTTATTGCCGTCAGCCATATGTTTATGCTCACCTTTTTTCTCTCGTGTTTTGCTAATATATGTATCAGGCCCGTGAGTGAGCTCTGATACCAGTGTTTAAAATTGAATATTATCAAAGCACAGTTCTGGCTTTAAAAGCTTACTTTATTCAATGTAGTAAATGGCTTTATATAGCCAATACAGTAACTAATATAAAAGAAAGAGATACCACGTAAACAGAGCATAACTGAACATGGTTGAAAATAATTGAACGTGGCTAATTTTATGGAACAAAAAAACTAAGAATCCTATTTCTAGGGGATAATATTTATTAACAAATAACTAAAAGGATTAAGTCAAGACGTGGCTGACAATGAGGGTAGATGTTGTACTTAGGACAACCCAAAGGACGTGTCACGTTAACAAAAATTGTAAAAAATTATGTTGAGTACAAAAACATTATGTTCACACTCCTTAGGTTTGTTGATAATTCAAGGAATTTTCCTATTTTTTAATGTTTACAATAGTCTTCTTTTCGTAATCTATAGTTCACTAAAACAATTAAAGGAATTAATAAGATGAACGAGAAATATGAGCTTAATGTTTTTAAATAATTGAAGGATTAATGTAGGGGTAAAATAGAAGTATGAAGAAAAAATATTTGACAAAACTTAATACTATGTTAACGTAGTTTATCGATTAGTATGAGAAATGAGAATTGTAAATATAAATCATGAATTAATTAATTCATATTTAGATAATCAAAATGAAAAAAAAAATGTAACTATGAAGTGGTACCCAAGAAGCAATTTTTGTGATATTATAATCTATTTATGGTTGTATGATTCATATTTTGTGAATCTAGAGCATAGAACTATACACAGATGTTGTTTGAAAATTAATATTATGTGAGAACTTAAAAGTCATATTGAATGAGAGTCGTACAATTGCAATGTAAACCAAATTAGCTCAGAAAAAAATCAGTGATAGAAAAAGAAATGAACAACCTTTGTGAACATTAGTGCAAATCACTTAGGAATTACAGAAGAAAATACTTAATTTTGTCATCACCATGTTGTTCTATTTTTGTTGAGTTTTGGCATGATGAAAGTACAAACAGCTAGATAATCTAGTTGTGTGTTGAACTCATCAAGTTCTCTATCCATATCTTGAAGTCTGATAAGTAAGTTTGTTGGCTACAATTGCTGCAACTAGGACACACCAATTATGGTGGCATGATTCAACAAAGCTCAAGGTTACACCCTTAAGGTGAAGAATCAGTCAAAGCGAATGACTAAGCATGAAATTTTGCTTCTGCTCATCCTGATCAAAGCTTCCTTTGCCAAGCACTCAGCTGCTTCTTGTGGATCTTCTATGTGTCTTATGAGACTCACAGCCTCTTGGTTCTTCATCACCTGCTAACACAATATTAGCAAGTAACATTTGTTTGAAAAAAAAAATAAGAAAAAAAAAATGATGAATATTTTTCTTTTGAAACCTTAAGTTTACGTGTTTTCTTTCTTTCTTATACAGTGTTTAATTTTATCATTTTTATTCAATATGAGATTTAAACTCATACTTAGATTATTTTCAACAAAATTCATGATTCGTAGTTTTTTCGTGAACAAGCATTAAAAGTTACTCAGTATTATGGGACTTACCTCCCATATGCCACTGCTTGCAAGGATCAAAAATTCAGTATCACAGTCGATTCTATCACCTCCCACCACAAGTTCTGAGCCTTTAGAATGCTTTGTACCTGTTGTGTTGCCTGATTCACAAGCTATCATGCGTACTTTTTGTGCACATGCATAGCATTCATTATGAGATGTGTGAACAAAAACAAGCGAACACTTAAGGATGAAAAACAGAAACAAAAATTGGACACTTGTGCAACTGAAATCTCAATTGAATTCCTAACAGGAAAATATAATGCAGTGATGTGGAACATTTTTACTGTATTAAATGAACTTTAAACCTAATTCAACGCTACAAAATCGATTATTAAAGTAAAATTTTCATCTAATAAGTTAATCTGTCTTATTTTTATTTGATGTAGGATCTCTAACATTCTTATTGACATCTAGATATATCTCGATGTAAGAATAAATATTAATGGACGATTCGATAATGATCTTACAATGAATAACACTAGGTCCAACAAACAATAAATTTTACTACGACAGATTTCAGATGATTCTGATATCATCTTAAGAAATTGACTTTAAATCTAATTTAACTATACAAAATCGGCTAGTAAAGTGAATTTGTAGTCACTGATTTGTTTTATCTTTAGTTAATGTTTCAAATAATAATGAAAAAAAGATGAGAGTGATTGATACCTGAAAAGAGTCTGCTATACCAATTTCTCTTGGCTGAATGACTGTGTCTGCCAGTTGTCTGATAAGCGACACCATTTCTGCACAAAACAGTTCTGTAATCTCCCATGTTGGCTATCACTAGCTTTTCTCCATTTATCACCATCACTGATGTTGAACCTATTCTGCATATCTCCTCTTCTGGCTTCAGTGCCTCTCTGATCTTTGTTCTTACACCTAGATAAGCTCTCTTCAGTGTTTCTTTGCCTTTTCTCCTCATATGACACTAACATGTAATTGAAACTATCAGAAACACAGAAGAGACCAAAAATATGAATGAAAATAAGGAATTTATGGGATCATTTTAGAACAATTATTTGGCTTAATTGCATATATTACCATCAGTTTTTTTCCACAAATTTTACTGGTTGGTTAAGTTTCTCAGGAGTGATGACATGACATGAAAAAAAATTGTAAGCAAAAACAAAACAAGATCAAAAGAATATCATTTGCAAAAGTTGATGATATAAATGACGTGGTTTTACCTTTTCTTGTGATATGCTATCATCACTCCTTTAATAGGTAGAATGTACGAAAGTTGAAAAATTTGACAGTAAAATGCATCAAAAAAAATAGTAATATAATGATAATTGAGTATTAAGTGTAAGATTAAGCCTGGCTGTTTATGATGATCTCCAATCTAAATTGAAGTTTTATCTTGTATGGTCTGTGACAACTTTAATGCACTTTTGTCTATGATGAAATTTCAATTTTAGTAGAAGAACAACACTAAAAAATTCATAGCAGTGTATTTAAGTTTTGCTATCTACCTCTCTGACAATGAATTTGTAAATTTGAGAAATGAGAATATGCCAAGGGTGAATTTATGCCTCTAATAAACCATTGATGAGCATTATAACTTTGGTTGAGCAAAGTACAGATTGTAGCTGAGAGAAGTTAACATAACATTGATTTCTGACCTCTTTGAGCTTCTTGCCAAAGAAATGGGACTGCACAAACTTTGTAACTCCATCTCCAACAACAGCATCAAAGATTCCAAAATACCACAGTTCTGTGTGATCCATCTGCTCCCTCTGTATCACAACTGAATCAAACTCTGAGTCATCAGAACCACCTTTGATCACATGATGCTCCACCACATGATGGCCATGTGATATTGGAATCATCCATGAAGGCTTGTTTCCTCTCCATTTGTTTCTCCTTCTTCCAAAGAAAAAACGTTTCACCCTGAATGCCTGCTCAAGTCAATGAAAACATTGGTTATTCATATCAGTTACTATTCATTCATTCATATGAACAGGCATTTACCAAAAGATCAGAACTCAGATACTTTTGGTTTTGTTTCTTCAACCATGATTAGAGCTTCATCTCACTAGTTTGCACTATAAAAGATTCATAGAATATAAAAAAAAGAAGAAGAAAGATTAACACTGTGAAACCCCGATTCTGATTCAGTAACAACATGAAAACATACATGAACAACTATATCTAAAGTTTTTTTCTCAGCTGCATGAAAATGTCAAAAGGGTCATGATCAGTTTTTTCCTAGTAACATGTTCTTTACACCCTTGTAATAGCCCTATTATCACATACAAGTCAGATATATGCATTATTTCTGATGAACTTCTAAGAACCTCAATGGAACAGTGAAATAGGGACATACATACCTTAAGCCTGATATGGAAGTCTCTTATTCCCATTTTCTTTGTATAAGGATTTGATCAGATACTATGAAATCAATATTTTCAGATGGAAAAAAAGATGTGTCTCCATTTATTCTTTTGGCTCTGTGGTTGCATATTCAATAGAGGTGTTGTGTCAGGTAGAAGAAGTAGCTGCTCTATTGAAAAAATTAATTGGTTTTGATTATCTGTTAGGAGAAACTTTTGAATATGAAGTAACCATCCGTTCTACTTTCTTAAGTTTTAAACCAGAACAAAAGACAAAAAAACAACTAAACATATTGTCCTTTCTCCTTAATATTTAGTTTAAAATATGTTATAAAAAGATAATAATACAATATGAAATGTCTTCATTCTTATAGAATAAAGACATTGCTTTCTTTCACTTACACATTTATTCATTTTAGAAGAAGGAAAATCTTTATATGATTTATGATTTCTACACTCTGTTTTCCTTATTTGCTGAAACGAAATTAGCATCGGACAACCTTAGCACTGGAAAAAAAGTTCATTATTGATTGTTGCATACTAAGAAATAGTACGAGTTTTGATGCTTTTACTTAGATGCAACCATTCAACATTCATTGTGTGATGTGCTCTTCTTACCTCAACTTTTAATGTACAATGTAACTGATTCTCATAATTATCTTCATGTTACCCATGCAGAAGTTTTGAGATAATCCTCACTTTTTACTTTATACAAAATAAACCAATTAAAAATCTAAGTGTTCATTAAATAAGAACAAGAAAATTATATATATATTTCTAATATCGGTCGTTTTAAGAATTTTTTTAGTATAAGTTGCTTTAAGATTATAAACTTGGTTTTACCTTCAGCTATACATTTGAGATAAAAGTTAGATTTAAAAAAAATATATGAAAATAAAAACTTAAAAACAAGACTCTAAAAAAACAATTGGATTGAATTAATTATGCATTTTATTACTTATAAAATTGAGTTGGGACAGAGACTTACATTTAATTTAATTTTTTTCTTGTGGCGTGGCTGGTGCCATGATTCTTGCCAAAATTAAGAACTTAACAGAGCTTATATCCCTACAAAAATAGAAAAAACAAAATGAAAGGACAGTGGTGTTGAATTATAGTGTTAGCAATTAGAATGACGTGGTACATCAATATTCATGTTTTTTCAGAAACTTATAACAATATACTTTAATATCTACCTATACATACTTTAATTTTTTTAATTATTATTTTAGGTGCAACCATTTCTTTCATTTGTTTTTTTCGAGTTAATACTTAGTTGATCCCCACATAATTTCATTCACTGAAAATATTAAGCAAATTTGAACATAAATAATTATTATTAAATATTAATAAAAATATAAATAAAATTACCTTCTTTTGTCTTTTATGTTAAATACAAGTTTTTTTATAGCCACCACCTTTTCAAATTTCGCATAAAACACCAATGAGATTTGTGCAAACACAAAAATTAATAAATAATATAATTAAAAATAAAATAAAACAAATATGCTATTTTAAAAAGTTGTCACAATTTTAAAAAATCAAACACGTAAGAGAGGTAAAAGACTATTGTCATCTAGGTAGAAGTATTTGTTCTAACTACCTACTAAAATTGTCTCCTAACAATTAAATATTTTCCAACCCAATTTAATTAGATTCATAATAGATTAAAAAAATTATAACAAATATATAACTAGTAAACAAAACTTGATTGGCAGTGAATATTAATTTGAAGGTGAAGGTACAATTAGAATTATTAAATATGAAAATGAACAATTGTAGAATTATAAAGTTCTTTTTAAGAATTATTTTAATTACTACTGTTAATAATTTTTCAATTCACAAGTTATCTGTGCATGGGGACAAAAACATTCATACAATGAAAAGATTAGTTAAAATTGAAAAAGAAAAACCAAGATTTGTTAAAAATAATTCATATTATTGAAGTGTGACCATGCTAAGACATAGAACAAAACTTATATAACTCGGCACAAGTTTAATTTTGAAAGTCTTATCTAAAGATTTTTTTTTTTTAGTTTTGATAGGAAGAAATAATATTATGTTTTAGTTATCTAATAAAATGACTTAGTGTCATCAATTTGCAAAAGTGAGTGATTAATTGAACGTTTTAGATATTTTATGAAAGCATTTATGAACATACATATTATTTTTAGTTATTCTTGATGTGTTATATTTTCTCAATGCTAGTTTCCATTGTTTGTTTCCATAGTCCAAGAGTTTAGAATTAACCAGCATAATCTTAGTGTATTTCTTTCTCATTAGATGATTTATGCTAAAGAGTTTAATGCTTATACGAAAATGTTTAAATACTCAATTCAATCTCTTTATAAAATTAATAAATCTTAAAGAAATATATTAAATATAAAGTACGAAGAAAATTATAAAAACAAATAAAACAATCAACACATAACAAAAAATAATACAAACAAAGATCAATTACCTTAGTAATGATTAAAAAACCAAAATATTAAAATAAAAACACACTAATTCTGAACCAAAAAGACAAAAAGCTTAAAGGAGACAAAAACTTATAACACTCCAACAACATCAATTTACTGCAAAATATATATAAACGATACAAATATTTAAAAATATACAAATAATTTACATAATGATAATAGATTTTATTTGTAAAATTAGAGGTTTAAAGTGATTCTGATAAAAATACATATTTATAAGACTCTTTTCAAATTCAAATACTAAATCATAAGATAATTACCATAACATTTTATAATAATTGTTTAACAAACATTACCATATAACAACTACCATATTTGTACATAAAAATATTAATTAATCATGTAGATTGACACATTAATCATGTTCAAAAAAAAAATTAAATAATGGCAGTAGACTTACAAATTTTATTAAATAGCTCTAATAAACGATAGGCCCTGTACAATTCATTAAAAATACATCTTCGTTTTAAAATTATGTTTTGATATCTATAATCGTTAAGCGGACAACATATTTGTGATTTAATTTCACAAAAATGATCTGGAACATTTAATGCATTTGAAATAAAAACCAATCTCCACTTTTTTTGAAGACAATGTTATTCTATTTTGATGGTTGGAAATATTGAATAATTGAAAATTTTGGTAAAAAAAAATATAATTTTGAATCAATCAAGCTTAACTTCTACAAAGCTCGTTCTAGATACCACAATCATGGATGTCTAATTACCAAGGAAAACAGAGACATGAAAATTTAAAACGATACAAGAGAAAAAATAAATCAAATCACATGAAAATACAAATGAGAAAATTAAAAGATGTTTCTGCTTACATTTGCATTGTAGCAAAAGATTTTTTAATCAAATGTCAAAAAACCAATAATCAAAAACAAGTGCAAACAAAAAGCAAAAAGAGGCAAACCTCATTCTAACCATGAGATTTGGGAGAACTGGCATCAATTCATCAGTAACACAAGATCTCAAAAATAAACATTTCTAGGAAATCTGTCAATGATACATAATAAAAACTCATGTAATAAAAGTAAACTAAGAAAGAAATTCATAACAAAATTTGGAAATTGCACATGAAATTAGGTCTAAGAAGCACTCTTTTTCAGCTTGGCAAGCTCTTGCCTAACAACTGCTGCCCTCTGCAGAAGTTGAAAATAAAAAAATTGTAAGTTAACTTCAAAGCCAAAACATAAAACCACTACATCATCATTATGTCAACGCACTAGAACAGGCTCCTGGCTTTTCTTATGCATAAAAGCCATTTGATATTAGAAGAGTAATACCAAAACCAAAAGTGTGAGAATAGAGATGTAGGATGAAACCAACCTTGATCTTTGCCAACATAATCTTGAACCTGTCAAAGTCATTGAGGGATGCTCTTCTCTTTTGCACAATCAGTTTTCTGCCCCATGAACTTTTCTCCCACCTGTTCTTAACATCTGTTCAGCAAGGAAACAAACTCATCAACAAAAGGAATGCTTTCAATTTAATAAAAAATTGTCCTAAAAAATGAGTACCAACCAGCAGCGTCCATGGCTTGAATGAGATCCTTCTTCTTTGGGACCCTCTTGATATCAATCTTAATGTCAGTGAGTGACAGCCTCTTGAAGTTCACTTGGGACCTCACCATATCGGGAGCATCCACAAGAGCCTATCAACACATGAAGGAAAGTCATGCTAATATTTCAAAGTCCAATATCTAAAAGCTGTAAAAAGCACATCCAATTTATAAAAAAATAGTACACCTCTATATCTTAATGGCCTTTGATTCTATTTCATGCCAAATTGATAACAAGAACCAAAAAAATAGCACATTCTTTCATTTAGTTGACGCTACTCAGACACAGACATACAAAGCCTATATGATCCAATTAAAATGCACACATTAAAGTTACCAGCAGGCTTGACTGTTCTAACTACTCTTAAAAGGAAGTTGATATTGTATATTCTCACAAACCAAACGGATACAAAGACTCCAAATTTAGTTGATGCTACAAAAATACAATATACAACAAAGCCTTAAGTGCTATGACCCAGAGTTTAAATACAATTAAAAAGATAAATAAGCTTAACAAAAGAGATAGAAATAAAACAACCAAGAATAAATCATCCATCAAACTAACAGGGTAAAAGACTCTAACCCCTTCGGTAGAATTTGGCATTATCGAATACTAAATTGATACCAAGACCCTAAATTCAGTTGAAGCTCTGAGGCACAAAATAGCGAAAGCCTTGCGACCCAACATAAAACTATGCAGAACAAACAACCTCAACAAAGCACAAAACCTAAAACCACGGATCAGAACATATATTCCAGCAACGAAATTCAAGCCGAAATTTATCAACACCAAGATCAAAGAATAGAGCATTTTTTTTACGCCAAACCTCACAAAAAACCCAAAATAAACATTAGGGCACGCACTCAATGAATCTAATCCAACCAAAAAACACCAAATTAAAGAAAGAAAAACAAAAGGACATACTCTGTTCTGGTCAATGACGTCGACAATGACTACTAGCCTCCCATACTCTTTGCCGTAGTTGATCTGAGCAACCCTTCCAATCTCAACGTACCTCTTGAATGGCTGCGACAGAGATCCGAAAAGAAAAACAAAGAAACATTTTTTTCATCAAAACCATAAAACCCAGATGCAGAAATACGCAAGGTAGATAGAAAGTGTTAAAGGGTTGGTCAATGGAAACTCACCATTTTCGGCTACGAGGATTCTGTGACTGCCGAAGTGATGAAAGGAGGAGTGAAGGCTTGGAGTTAGGGTTTTGTTGAAGTTGCAATTATAAAGAAAGGAACATGTGTTGTGATGAGCGATACGAATGGGCCAAAACCCACATATGTTTCTGTCCTAAAAGAATGCTCGGTTTTGAAAAACAAAAACGGAATGGGCTATGACCGAAGCCCGTATGGCTCTTTAAAATTTCAGGCCCATAATTGGGTGTTACTCCCTCCACCTCCATTATTTTCTTTTATTCCAAAAATGTCCTATACTTTTTCACTGTCTCAACAATCTTTTTCTTTCTTTCTCTCTTAATGAAGCATTCATAAGACAATTTCACATGACCATTTCCTGGTTGGGGACAGAGTTTGACATTTGGGTAGCACTAAGAATTTTGTATACTTTTTGAACATGATGTGCTATAGGTTTACCTTTTCGTGGCAATACATTCACCAGAAAGTGGGGTAGGCCACAGATGCCACTGCCTTTTGTGATGTGCTTGCGACTGTTAGTGCTTCAATTCTACAATCCTAACTAAACACAAAAGAGCACCTTATTTGTTTAAGTGTTTCTTTTGTTCATTAGACTTGTTAACATACCAAGTCTTTCAAAACGCGTGCTTGATCAAGAAATTAAACAATGAAAGTGATTGGTAGGGAAGAAACATTAATGTTTGGAAAAATAAAGATTGGTGTATTCTAAGGCGAAAAAGCATAGAAAATGAAACGAAAATGTTTATGGTAAATGAATAAGTGGTGATTGTAATGGTGAGAGGGTGGAGTTAAAGTGAGGATGACTTCCAGTTGAGAGAGGGAAAGAGAGATATAATTGAGGATAACGGAGAGGTGTATGTATTTTTAGAATAAAAGAAAACAGGTGCAAAAGTATTTGGGGTGCTGAAAGAACAACACTTTCATAATTTACTAGATTTTATAATTATTGTCTATATTTTAAAAATCGGGAACGAGCAAAAATTACATATCCATAATTTACAAGATTTTAAACTCGTGCGAGTATTTATTTAAATTAAATTTTTAAATATTTCAATTTAAAAGTATATGTATAGATGTAAACTTAATAATAAAATATTCTATAACACATCAATTATAATTATAATTTTTTATTTATACTTATATAGAGATTACATTTTTCTTCCTTGCCTTTTAAATAACAATTATTTTAAAGTAAAATAATCATATTTTCATCCTTACCCTTATAATTAATCTTAATTTAATTATTTTATAAATAAATTAAAATAATTACTTGACCTTTTTATCTTTTTTAATAACTTTTTTTTCCATTTCAAATAATTATTCATACAAAATTATATTTAATAACAAAAAATTATACAAATGATTCATTTTTATAATTATTTTTAATAATAATAATTTTACAATTTAATAAATTTTTGTTAGAATAAAAGAAATAAAAACGCATGAGTCTAACATGTCCTTCCACTCGTAGTACAATAAAAAGAGTTAATTATCAACTTTCATTATACATTCAATACAATCACTTTATATTTACTTTTTAAGGATAATATAATCATTTAATTAAGTAAAAATTAATATAAATAAAGAAAAAAGAGATAAATGGTAGAAAAGTGAATGTGAGATAGATATAAAAAGTTATAAAAGGTAGAACATCCTCAGTATTAGTTCGTCTACCATGGTTGTTGTTATGCATAGCAGTTTTAACTACTACATTACAAAGTTGAAGAATAGTGTCAAAGTTAGACAATGAGTTTTGTAGTTTTGTTTTGTTTTTTTACGAGGTTCGATCTCAATCTAATCCCTTCCTCACATTTTAAAATTTCCATCTTTACCTTATTTTGTATTCATTTTCTATCACAGAATGTATTATTGCTGTTTCGGATGTAGATTAATAATTTTTACAAAATATGTATTCACGTTTTTTTAGACAATTCTATGTGTCTTTATCCAAAATCTTTCTTTGTTTGCGTTCCAAATTGTTCGGAATATCTATGCAAGTCACTTTGATACTCAAGTTATAATAATTAATTTGATCTAGTTAGAATGAAGTCTTAAATTCACAATAAACAAATCCACTTATCTTATTACTTTTGACCTTTATAAGTTTCGAAATGGACCTTAGATTAGTGAAATTCTAATCACGATCCAACCAGACCAAAAATTCACTAAATAATATTTAACCATAATCTTAATTTAATGTGGTGTTAAGTATGATTGATGCTAGAGAGCATCCGCTTGGTCTTCCATCCTTCTCGAACGCTCGATTGATGGGTTACTGACTTTGCCTGATATGTGAATTGTAGATTTTTTGACCGATCGAACTTTTCTGATACGGTCGATTTTATCGTGTGAGCGTCTAGTCATACAATACAATTACCAATTAAAACTAACATAGATAAAATAATAAAGACGTTTGTAAGATATACACATGTGAACTAGGAAATTGTTATATTATGTAAATAATATTTAAAGTAATTGCAGACCCCGTGCTTTACTCTTAGCGTTTTGATCGACGACTAATTATAATATAATTCAGCTGTAAAACGCATGGGACGTGAAATATACTATTGCATTGCAGTTGAACATTGGATATTTCTTTCAATAGTTTGATATATAATATTGTCACATCATTATTGAGTATAGGTGTACCAATTAGCAGTTTTAGGTTTATTTATGTCGGTCTTTTCTATAACTTTATATCTAACCATTCAAAGTTTCCAATTGACTGTAAAACACGGTTAATTTGAAATATATATAAATATGCAGTGGTAGATGAAAAGAACAACTACTCATCGTGTTTATGTGATGAGGCAAACAGTAAACTGTTTAAATAACACGGTAAAGTATTAATATATTGGAAGCTGAGATAAGAGTTCAGAAGACAAGAAGCTCGTAACAATTGTTTATGTAATGACAAAAGCACATGCACAATTTAGATAACATCTTCTTACGTGTTTCAATTTAGTGGCTTTTAAGGTTACGTGTTATCCCTCGCTTTAACATTATCCCCCTCAGAACGATTAAAAGCATAAAAAAATCTCAACACGTTTGCCATTTAATATTACAATAATAAAGTTAGATGAGGCCAACAGAAAGGACATGCAGCACCGATAACATTTACAAGGCTGGTTTGTTTTGACATGATAGATGATATTTGTCACGTGCTTTGCGTACAGCTAAGTGTATTGGTGGCAGTTTCCAATACTAAGTAAAGATTCTCACTCCAACAGTATAAATAGGTGCCATGGAGAGGAATGTAAGCATCCCGAAATCAAATCATATATCTCTCTTGCACTCTTTATATCTACCTTACTCTCTCTTCTTTGTGTTAAGAAACATGTCAAGCTCTCCTTACATCGATGCTGCATTTCGTTCATCAAAAGAATATCAAGTGTATTTCTTCGCCAAGAACAAGTATGTGCGGTTGCATTACACTCCCGGGCAAACAGAAGATAAGATTTTGACTAATCTGCGTTCGATTAGTAGTGGTTTTCCATCACTTGCAGGAACTCCATTTGCAGAAGCTGGAATAGACTGTTCCTTTGACACTGAAGCGAGTGAAGCATATGTGTTCTCCGGCAACCTCTGTGCCTACATAGACTATGCTCCAGGTACAACAAATGACAAGATACTTGCAGGTCCTACCACAATTGCTGAAATGTTTCCTGTGCTCAGAGACACGGTGTTTGCTGATGGCATAGACTCTGCATTTAGATCAACCAGAGGAAAAGAAGTTTACTTATTCAAAGGCAATAAGTATGTTCGCATAGCCTATGATTCGAAGCAGCTTGTTGGCAACATTCGCAACATCGGTGATGGCTTTCCTGTGCTGAAAGGTACCATCTTTGAAAGTGGAATTGATGCGTGTTTTGCTTCTCATAAGGAGCCTGAAGCTTACCTTTTCAAAGGAGACAAGTATGTGAGAATCAATTTCACCCCAGGTAAAACTGATGACACTCTTGTCGGTGATGTCAGGCCTATCCTTGATGGTTGGCCAGTTCTTCGAGGCATTTTGCCTGTGAGCTAAACTAGCCTTCACTCTCATGCATCAACCACCTTAGTCTCGTCACAATCGATAAGGCTTTCGCCTCGTCAGACTCAATAAGGCTTTCATTTCCCACTTTTGTTTTCTTTCTCTTTAATGTAACATTAGGATTGGAAGCATGTTTCCTTTCCTAATGTAACAAGTCTGAATGTTTGTATTTCCTTTCCTGTATGTGGATGTTTCTTTCCTATCGTCATGTAATCTGTGCACTTAATAAAAGTGGGTGGTTTAGTTTGATAGAATGATTGTTATAGATTTAGTTCAATCCGTAAAATTATTTATTTTATGACTTTATGGATAATTCTTATCAAAAGGTAAATATTCCTCTGATCTTTTCTACAAAAGGAAAGTCTCTGTAATCAAATTCTATATAACAGAATAAATAAACTACGTTTTGCAGGAGCAACAAACCATAATATTTCAAGGACTACAATTTATGAAAAAGGTATTTGTGATAAAATCATCAAATCTGAAAGATATATAAACTCTTTCTCTCAATGTGACCCAATTTGCATTCAAAATTTCAACTTAAAATAACTTCTTAAGTTTGAATACCTATTCATTTTTCTAAGCTAGGTTAAATAAAGAAATATAAATTAAATACATTATTTTAACGTGTGAACGTGAATGGAAAAGATAGATGTGATGAAATTTATGAATGTCAATATGAATAAAAAAGACGAATGGGAGAGATTTATACAGAAAGTGGAAAAGAAACTCTAGATTAATAATCTACGGTTCTTTTGTATTGTATTTATGATATGCAACGGTTTGAAATTTATTTTAAGGTTACGAGGTTACTATGTTAGTCTCTCTGATAAAAATATAAACAAGAAATTATAGATGGAAAATGAAGAAAGAGTGAGAAGAAAATACGAACGAAGAAGGAGGACCAGAAAGAAGGAGCAGATTCCAAGGGTTTTGAGAAGGTTGAGGAAAATGGCTGCTACAGAAGAACATCTCCATCAACCCTTCACCACCTTCACAGATTTTCTAGTTTCAATTTCAGAGGAAGCTATTCCGATTACACGACAACCTCAAACTTATATTTTCTCGTTCTTAATTCAAACGAAATACAAACGCAAAAAATTCTGATTACACGTTTATCCTTACACAGCCACGTATTACCCTCACACAACCACGTTGCAAACTTCAGTCCACCCTGTTAGCTGGCTCGTTAAAAAATTAACGCCGTTACCAAAAAGGACTTAATTGCACATTTTTTTCATAAGTCGGGAACACATTGAACTTCGAAAAAAACGTAGGACGTAATTGAATATTTGCCTCCTTTCGAGGGACCAAAAGAGGTATTAAACCAAAAAATATGATTCCTATTCATTGTGATAAATGGAACACGATTATTATTTTATCAGCAACAATAGACACGAATTCTTAACATTTTGCATTGTGTTAGACTTATTCTATTAAGGTCTAATATTAAACGTACTCCACTTCGACACAAATAAAAATATTTTTTTTATTAAAAAATTAAAAATAAATTCACATAATGTTTTTTTTCAGAAAAAAAAAACATTTTTTTTCTTCATGTTAGAGAATACTAAATAAACCTTAAGAAATTAACTTTTTATTTTTCTTGTAATAGAAAGTGATATATTAAGTTATAGATGATAACGACTAAAACAATTTACAATGTTTGTTTGGCATTTGGAAGGCAGAATCCTAATAATTATAAAGATAAATTTTTTTAATCATTTAAAAAGTTGATATATATATATATATATATATATAT